CTCTCCAGGGTGTGTCCGTCCCTACTGCTCCTGGGCCCTTTGGTTCATGCGGGAGCGGTGGCACAGGGGATCTATCCTCTGGTTATAAGTAACATCTGAGCTGAACAGAACGGCTGTCAGTTCTATCCCCGTGCTGGTGTAAGCGACCAGCCTTGTCCCCAGCTCGCCGTCCACCCAGCGGTTCGAAAGCTTCGGTGAGAAGATAAAATGGGTACCACTCCTTAGAGAGGGTGGGCACACTAAACCCCCTGGCGGGGGAGGTGTTAGCCGGCGAACGGAATGTCCAGCTCGTAAGATCGGAAGCCTAGAAAGATCTCTTCGGCATCAAGAAGCCTGTAATGGGCCATTCCGGCCAGGCGGTGGCAGTGCGGTGTTGTGACTCGAAGCAGTCCTGGAGAAAGCTGACGTCATCAAGCCAAGCCGAGGGGAAAATGCCGTCTGGAACATGTCTAGTCTACAGCTGAAACAAAATCCCCGTCGGCTGTGAACGTGTGTGATTTAAAGATTTATATATATGTTGTCCTCCCTTACCCCTATGAATCATTGTTAGCCCCTTGTGAATGTGTAACTGTAAATCGCTCAGAGCCAGCAGCTCTGCAGGATTGAGCGATTAATAAATTGAAAGATTATTATTATTATAATTATAAAATGTCCCAGTGTTGCCTGTTCCAAACTCTTGCCAATAAAATCTATCAGGCCTGGACTTCTCCCAACCCCTCGAGGTCGTTTTCATGGTCTGCCGTTGGCATCATGCACCACAGACGACTGCCCCTTCCCCCCCCCCAATCGGATGCAAGGTCCAGGAGCTGGGTACTCCACTGATGGCGTGTGCAGGGTTTCACCCCTCTTGTGCTGCCTTTTGTGCCTGGCGCAAATCAGTCCGGTCCCACAAACCACGTGGGTGAACGAAGGCCGCGGCACGCACGCGAGCGGCCTGGGTGGTTTCATTCGTATTTGCAGAAGTTCTTCAGCAGGGGCGGGAGGTTGAGCCCCTCGATGGCCAGCCGGTGCACAACGTGTTTCTGGATGATCAGCCGGCAGAGGGTCTGGAGGGAAGGAACTGGGGAGGAAAACAAAAGGAGGGCTGAAGGGGGCAGGGGGGCAGCCCCGGCTCAGACCGAGGCCTGTGAAGAAGGCGCCCGTCCGAGCCCCTGGCAAGCCATGGGTGCTCACTCACGTTCGGAGCCGCAGCAGGCACGCCGCCTCTCCAAACACCCCAGGAGGAAGCAATGCCCAGTCTGGCTGGAATGGGTTAGTTCAGCCTGGCAGCACATCTTAATGAGTGCGTCCCACACCGTTCTATCCCCCACCCCCCCAGCTTCTCCTTCCTATGCCATTCTCTGTTTTCAAACACACACACACACACACACACACAGAAATTCACTGAAGGGCGGTGCTCCCCTCTCTCTGCTTGTCCAGAGTCCTGTGAGAGAACAATTCCTATCTTGTCTGTTCAGGAATGAGGGCTCCCCCACCCCACCCCATCTCTTTGGCCCCTTGCCAGACTGTCTCGTCTCATTGGGATGGCCGCAAAAAAGAGTCCCAAAGCATGCCCGGGGCAATAAGCTCTTGCAGCAGATCTCTGCTCTCTCCCACCTCTTTATGGCTTTGACGCTAGATCCTGGAGTGCCTTCCCCATGAGGCAGGCCTGGAGACGTACTGTACGACTTTTCAGTTTAGACAAAGAGAAGGCCGAAGGGGAGACGGGACAGAGGTTTCTAAAATTATGCACGGGGTGGAGAGAGTGGATAGAGGGAGCTTTGTCTTCCCCTCCCATAATCCTGGGATTCGGGGCCACCCAACGAAATTGTTGGGGGGAAGACAGATCAAGGTGGGCGGCAGTCTTGGTCTGAACTTTGACTTTGCTCTGTTGGGGAACAGGTTCTCCGGACAGGCACAAGGCAATACTTCTTTCCTCAATGGGTGATCAAACTGGAATTCACTGACAGTGGAATGATGACCCCCTAGCATGGATAGCTTTCAAAGTGTGTTAGGCAGATTTCCTGGAGGAGAGGTCATAAGAACATAAGAGATGCCAATGTTGGATCAGGCCAAAGGCCCATCCAGTCCAACACTCTGTGTCACACAGTGGCCAGAAATACCAGGTGCCATCAGGAGGTCCAGCAGTGGGGCCAGGACACTAGAAGCCCTCCCACTCTTGCTCCCCCCCCCCAAGCACCAAGAATAACAGAGCATCACTTGCCCCAGAGTCCCGATCTATACCTTGTGGCTAATAGCCACTGATGGACCTCTGCTCCATCAATGGCTACTCGCTGTAGTGACTGAAAGGGAACCTCCACATCCAGAGGCAGACAACCTTTGAAAACCAGTGCTGGGAGGTGGCGGCGGCAGGGGAGACCTTGGCCTCTCTTGCCCGTTTGTTTGGCCCTCCAGGGCAACTGGTTGGCTGATGTGTGAGACGAGATGCTGAGCCACTGGTCTGACCCAGCAGGGCTCTTCTGACGTTCCGTGCCTAAAATTCGTTTAACTGCAGAATGAGTGTCAGTCCCTGACAGAGCTTGGAAGGATCTTTATGCCCCTGGTCCCTGGGCTCTATGCAGGAGGACATGGCTGCCCAGACTCAACAGGCAGACTGCCTTCCAAGTTTATCCCCACTGGCATGCTTTGGGAATGACAAGAAGACAAGCTTTCTTGCTGTGTCATTATCATGGAATTTCAACCTTATCTACTGAGGTCAGGGCCGTCTTGGAAGCTGTAATGTATCCATCCCAGACCGCGTGAGCGGCCATTTCGCCATGCAGTCAGGCGAAGCGACCGAGCTTCGCTCTCAGTAACATTGGGACAAGCGGATCCTAGCCGGCACCTATCGGCAGGCGAGGCTCCTGGCCAAGAGCCTATGGAACTCTCAGCCGATGTAAATAGCCAATCACTTGGGTGTGGGTGTGTTTGGGGAGCAGGGTTTGGGCACATATAACCCAGCCTGCGAGCTGGGGACTATCGTCTTGTTCTGAGCTGAAATAAAATATGAGAGCTGAAATCACTAGTAAGTCTCAGTACTTTTCAGAAGCTGTCCACAATTCCCCCCAACTGCTCAAAGCTCACTCTCCCACCACCCCCGTTTCCCTGCTCCAGCAAGCAGACAAGACCCATGATGGGCCAAAGGCTGGGCAGAATTCGCAAAGGGAACCCGCCTCCTCCCCCTCCCCCGGTGATTCCTTCACCCTATAAGAACATAAGAGAAGCCTATGTTGGATCAGGCCAAAGGCCCATCCAGTCCAACACTCTATCACACAGGGGCCAGAAATACCAGGTGCCCTCAGGAGGTCCACCAGTGTGGCCAGGACACCAGAAGACCCTCCCACTGTTGACCCCCTCCCCAAGCACCAAGAATACAGAGCATCCCTTGCCCCAGACCAAGAGTTCCTATCTAGACATCGTGGCTAAGAGCCACTGATGGACCTCTGCTCCATATGCTTATCCAGTTCCCTCTTATAAGAACATAAGAGAGGAGCCAATGTTGGATCAGGCCAATGGCCCATCCAGTCCAACACTCTATGTCACACAGTGGCCAGAAATACCAGGTGCCACCAGGAGGTCCAGCAGTGGGGCCAGGACACTAGAAGCCCTCCCACTGTTGTCCCCCCCCCCAAGCACCAAGGATACAGTGCATCCCTTGCCCCAGACTGAGAGCTCCTGTCTATACCTCGTGGCTCATAGCCACTGATGGACCTCTGCTCCATATGCTTATCTAATTCCCTTTTGAAGCCGTCCATGCTTGTAGCCGCCACCACCTCCTGTGGCAGGGAATTCCACGTGTGAATCACTCTTTGGGTGAAGAAGGACTTCCTTTTATCTGTTCTAACCCGACCGCTCATCAATTTCATGGAGTGCCCACAAGGAGTTCTCGTATTGTGAGAGAGGGAGAAAAGTACTTCTTTCTCTGCCCCCATACCCCAAACCCCATTCAGAGCACTGGGGTGCTCCTTCAGAATCAACGGCACCCCACCCCTCTTTATTTATTCTCCTCAAACACCTGTTTTGGGGCTGGGGGGCGGCAAGCAAGGCGAAGTGGGGAAGAGAGCCGTCTGACCGTGGGCAGGGACACCACTGCAGTCTTAATCCCCCAACCAGAACAAAGCTTTGTTCACTGCAACAGCTGAACACACCTTGAGCATAAAGAGAGAAGCTACAAAGCTGAGGTCCAGGCTCCAAGGAAATAAAAGGGAAGCAGAGATGGCTGCCCAGGGGATCCCTAGGACCAGGGGTCATTTCCTGGGGGAGCGCACAAGACCGGAGCTCCGGCAGTAAGGAGCCCAGGGGGCGGGCACATGCAGCAAGCCCCGCCCCCTGCTCCCAGCAGCCCTCACTCTGGCCACAAGAAGCACG